TGAGGGGAGCAGCGGGTGGGTCAGGAGAGGTCTGCCACGCCATGTGGTCACCTCCGGGGCAGGCGGGAATCGAACTCATGCGAAAGCGGCTTTAGATTCTCAGTGCTGTGCTTTAACCCGCTGCGCCACCAGGGAGGGCCGACACTCATCTTTTTAAAGCAGATAAAATGGCAGTGTCTCTCACAGACTGAGATGTTCTTCCTTGTGTTGAATTGGCATTTCATTAGAATGTTGAGGAGATGCCAAAGCTACCTTGTGATAAGTAGGGTCAGGTGTTCCTGGTTATGGTTTGACTATATTTGAGAACTTTGGGTACTCCTTTAATCTATTCTTCATGCTTTTATATTTTTTCATCATATTAAATGTGTCTTGAAGTCAATTTTATTTCATACTTTATAAAAAACTTAATATAGGTGGAGCAGTGGGGTAGTACACAGTACTGCAAGCTGGCCGCAGCCTCTTTAGTGCAAGTTAGATCCCTGCTTGGGAGGTGATCCACATGGCCCTGCAGACCTCTCTGGCCTGGCTGACCTTTCTTTGTCTGCTCACTGCTCCCCTCAGCAGTATACTCCATAGATCTGCTTAATCTGCTTGCTGCTCTGTCTCTGGTGAAGCCTCCCATTGCCCCTGCACCTCTGGCTTACACCCCAGTTGTGTATGAATAAGTAACTAAATCTTTTAAAAAAATAACTTCCTTAAAAAAAACAAACAATATATCCACTCCAAGTGGATAATATAGATTACTTAATGAAGCACTAACAGTATAATGCTTAGTGAATAAATGCTTAATAATTGTAAAAAGAAAATACAGTCTAGTAAATTTTTCTGAGCTTGTACTATCTTTTTAAGCAGACAAAGTGAATGAAATTTAATGAAACAAGATTGTTGTACTGCAGTGACATCTGAATCTTCATTCAAAAAGTTTTAGGAATATGCTGTGTCAAACAGACACACTCTCATATTTATATTTAGGTCAATTAGTTCTGCCAGGCTTAGTTCCTTTCACTTTTTTTTTACTTCTTTTTCTGATATATTTTTCCTCGTTCCTTTATCTTCTGCTACTTTGCCTCCACCCAATTTGTCAAGGACTGTAACAGCAATAAAGTCAAGTATTCTTTGAGAGAGGATTGCGTGACTATGTTTGAATCCAAGTACCTAAGATTTAGTGAATGGCCCTTGGCAGCTGACTGCTTGTTTTTATTTTTAACCCTCTTGTTTTTCCAGCTATATTTTGAATAATCGATATTGGCAGACAGTACTCATATAATGTGGCACTACTAGTGAGTTTGTGTTATTTGCAGATGTTGCTTAACCTGAGATTTTCAATTTTTAAATTTCAAGATGGAGATACACGTGAATTAGAGCGAACAAAGCAGTATGTAAATGAAGCTTTTCAAGCAGGGGCTATGACATGCTTAATTTGTATTGCTTCAGTGAAGAGAAACCAAGCAGTAAGTGTTCTCCTTTTGTATTACTTTATCTCCTCCCAAATTTGCATTTGTAATATAACTAGTTATTATTCTTTTTCTTATAAAAATCCTTTATTTGAAATTTTTATATAGAAATTGAACTATATTTTGTAAATTTATTATTAAAATATTACCTCAAATAAGCTTCCAGAATTTTTTTTTTCTAAAGATTTATTTGTGCTTACAGAACTGGGGTATAGGCCAGAGGCTCAGGGGCGGTGAGAGTCTTCACCAGAGACAGAGTGGGGAGCAGAATAGGCAGACGACAAAGTACACTGCTGAGGGGAGCAGTGGGCGGGTCAGGAGAGGTCTGCCGCCCCATGTGGTCACCTCCGGGGGAGGCGGGAATCGAACTCATGCGGAAGTGTCTTCAGCTTCTTAGTGCTGTGCTTTAACTCGCTGCACCACCAGGGAGGGCAGCTTCCAAGATTTGTAACACTATTAGTGTGATAGAAACAGATGTCTTCAGCTTATTGAGTGTCAGTTTGCTAAGACATTTTTAGTATCTGTACTTTAGAGAGTCCCACAAACACTGAAACTATATTTCATTGCTTTCAGCAGGTTTCAAAGAACATAGGTATGGTTTCTACCTTCAAGGAAGTAGAACCTGTAAGGAAGTAGCAATGAAATTAATTTATTAGTGACCTTCTCCTGTGTTAAGGGTACCAATGGAAAGTGACTAGGTCATTGGGAGATAGAGATTCAGACATAATTCTTGTACTTACAGGAGCTATGACCTGATGTCTACTAAAGATTTTCACTAAACAATGAAGAGGAAGTTATCACAGAATGTAATACTCAACATTTAAACCTTAGATTAATTCACTGTTATTACAGCAGCATTACCCAGAGAAAGAATACCAGGCCAGATGAACTTATTTCATCTTTGTGTAAAGTGAATCAGAAATCTAATCCAATATGCATTGGATAAGAAAGTGTAGCAGATGCATGGAGTTGCATCTGGTTGACTTACTTGGATTTGAACTGCTGTGGATGAATAGCTCCCACGGCAGGGTGGAGACAGTAAGAGGTATGTCTCCTGGTTCTTGGGAAGGTCCCTTGCAGGGCCGAACTTAACTTTTAGCCTAATCAGCTCAACAGTCTGCCACTTACTGGCATTTCTTCTTCCCCATTTTGTCCCCTCACTCCTGCATCCCAGTTCTTTTCTCAGTCACCGCTTTGAGGGGAAACTTGAACTAAGAAATTGAGATTCTTTTGAGATTCTGTTGCCAGCTTATGCAGTAAATGCTACATATCTGAAATTATTAAACAGTTGTAAAACGTTATATTGAAGGGAGAAGTGATTTTTGTCAGTCATATCAAAATGTTGGCAGGTTTTAAAAATTAATTTGCCGTTGTTCCTTAAGCTTTTAAATGAGATGTAGTCTCAAGTTGCTCATCTAATTTTTAGAATTTAGCATTATTAAATGCTAGACTGATAGGTTTTATATAAGAAGAGCTATATGTACATATTTATGTGTAAGGATTCATTTGTGGTGCTATTCATAGTTGGAAACAAAGTGTCCAACAAGAAATTAAATAAATTATGGTATACAAATTACATGATTTATAGTATTCTGTAAATATCATGTTGTATAAGCATACTTGATAAGAGTGAGTACTCATACTGTGTAAATAAAAGACTATAAAGAGGCCCTCCGTGGTGGTGCAGTGGGTTAAAGCACAGCACTGGAAAGCTAGAGCCACTTCAGCATGAGTTCAATCCCCGCCCCAGAGGTGACCCACCCACTCTTGTCTCTGGTGAATCCTCTCTGTCTCTGGTGAATCGACCTTGCACCTCTGGCCTGTGCCCCAGTTCTGTATGCATAAATGGATAAGTCTTTAAAAAAAAGAAAAGGCTATAAAGATACATACCAGTACAATAGGACTTCATTTAAAAAAAAAGTATGCAGTGCAAACAATAGTTATTTCCAGCTGAATGAGTCTGGGTATATCTTTAAAGTGTTCTTTCCACAACAATAATTTTTTATAAAGAACATTTATACTAGAAGGGAAGAATTTTTTTCTTTAATCATTTTAACTTAAATAATTTAGTATGATATTCAAAGTTTTATAGGATTATCAAAGAAAAATCATTGCATATGTATTAATTTTTTATACCTTTGTCTTAGGTTTGGAGTTGTTCAGGATGTTTCTGTATTTTTCATATGCCCTGTATCCAGAAGTGGGCTAAAGATAGCCAGTTTCTGGTATCTTCTCCTTTGACAGATGATGACTTTGGAAAGAGAGATTATCCTTGGCCTTGGTAACTTTTTCTAACTTAATTGTAAGAATAAATTGTAAAATAAATGAAAACTACAATTCATCAGTTCTTTGTTGGCAGGTTTGGTATACATGCTACCTTTCATATTGTGATTTGGTTATGAAAACAGGGAACTTTGGTAATAGTCTCTGTGCCTACCCTGTCACCTCACCACTGTTTTGTATAACTACTTACCTTTTTCAGTAACAGATCATTTAGATTTTTTTTTCCCTCTGCAGAACAACTTCTTAGTTATCCTTTTTAAGAACTTTCCTTTCTTTTTGATAGGTTAGAATTCTTCATCATTTTAGTGCCCCTCTTTTGGGATTCATGTTAGTATACATTAGTATCATATTTACAGAATTGTCATCGTACGTACTTTGATCATAGGCATCCCTGTTTTCTCAAAATTTTTTAAAATTACAACTGTCTCTTATCACAGCTTAATTTTTTTAGATTAGTTTTTATTAGCTTGGCTAACTATAGGTGATTATTTATGATTTTGAATGCCTTATACTTCCAGTATGAGTTGGTTAGTAGAAATTTCATCTCTGCTAACTAAAGACATAAAAATAATTTACACATGCTGACAGCCCAGAGAGTAACTATAGTGTCAAAGTAATGAACCATAAACCTTTGGACTCTGTTCCCTTTTGTAACATATTTTACATTTGTAATTTTGTATATATTTTTTTCTTAGCAAAGGGAGCATGATACTTCATCGGGGGTATAGTTAAAACTTGATAAAAATGTTAACAATTTTAGATTAGTAATTTTGTGGAATTCAAACATATTCTACTGAGTTACTGCTTATTTATGAACAAGGAGTGGCAACATTTCATTGTTGGCCTACTATTATTTTAAAGAAAGCTCATACATTTTGCATATGCTGCCATCATTTCACTATTCTTTTGAAACAGTCAGTCTCAGTGTAGATGGGCAGTTTTAAGAGATGATGGGTTGCTTTTTAGCCACTCATATACCGACCTCCATGCTAGCTTGAAAGTGATTGACATTTTCCTTTTAGTAACAGCAAAAAAAATTTTTTTATAAGTTTATTTTTACATCATTTTGTACATTTTT